CACAACTGGACACAATACTCCAGCTGAGGTCTAACAAGGCTCTCGTAACAAGTTCACCATCACCCCCTCGCTCCTGTACTCTACGCCCCGATTAATAAAGCCAAGGGCACTGTGTACTTTATTAGCAGCTCCATTCCCTGTCCTGCCTCCTGCAATGATCTGTGCACATATCCACCCAGCTCCCTCTACTCCTGCACCCCCTTTAGAAATGTACCCCCCATTTTATATTGTCCTTCAATGTTCCTCCCGGCAAAGCCCATCACCTCTCATCTCTCTGCATTGAACCCCAACTGCCACCTATCTGCCCACTGCACCAACTTGTCAATGTGTTTGTGGAGTTCCATACTGTCCCCTTCACAGTTTACACTTCTTCCATATGTCCTGTCATCTGCAAACTTTGACATTGTCCCCTGCAGAGCAAGATCCCGATCATTAATAAATATCAGGAAGAGCAAGTGCCCCAATTCTGACCTGTGGGGAGTCTTCACTACAAGCCTCCCTCCAGCCTGTACAATATCCATTGACCATTCCTCCTGTTTCTGGTCCCTCAGCCAATGTTGTATCCACATTGGTACTGACCCTTTAATACAGTGACCTAGAACTTTCCTGACCAGCCTGTTGTGTGGCACTGTATCAAACACCTTCTGGAAATCCATATTCACATTGACAACGTTACCCTCATCCAGCCTTTCTGTTACAGCTTCAAATAACTCCAACAGGTTAGTCAGACACGGTTTCCCCTTTCGAAACGCTGACTCTTCCTAATGACCCCACCTTTCTCCACGTGATTACTGAGATCATCCTGAATAATGGTTTTGAGAATCTTCTCCGTGACCAAAGTTAAACGGACTGCTCTGGAATTGCTGGGAATATCCTTTCTCGAACAAACTGTGATGTTTACAATTCTCCAATCTTGTGGCACCTCCCCCCGAATCCAGGGGAAGACTGAAAGATTGAGGCCTACATCCCTGTAACTTCCACTCTCACTTTGTTCAGACTCCCTGGGGACATCTTGTCCTGGGGCCTTGTCAACTTTAATTACCCACAATCCCTCCAACACTTATTCCTTGTCAGTTTTGAAACCTTCTCGTGTTTTGAGTTCCTTCCTCTGTCACTGTGGCCTGGATAGTTCCTCTCCCTTCAGTAAAGACAGATGTAAAATATTCATTTAACACCACAGCCATGCCCTCTGCCTCAGGTACCAACCCCCTTTTTAGTCCCTAATCTGCCATAGTCCTTTTATCACTTTTTACTGTAGATCCGGCCATAGAAAACTTTGGGACACCCCTTTACGTTAGCTGTCAGTCTTTTATCATAGTTCCTCTTTGCATCTTTAATTTGTTTTCTAACCTCCCTAAACCTTTGGTATCTGTCTCAGTTCATGACTGTACTTGTTGCCTGATAAATATACTCTTCCTTCTTTATCTTAATCTCAGCTTCCTTTATCATCCAGACAACTGTGGATTTCTTTATCCTACTTTTCCCAGTTGAGGAACCATCTCCTCTCTGAAGGTAGGCCAGTGTCCCTGTTTCTGCCTGCCAGTCTCTAATTCCAGTGTATCCTGCCCCAGTTCTGCCTTTTTGCCCCATTGAAGTACCCAATCGCCAATTGACATTTCTCACTCTGCATTGCTGAATGCTATGGCAGTGCGGCTCTCCCTCGGCACTGATCCTCCGACAGTGCGGTGCTCCCTCAGCACTGACCCTCCGACTGTGGAGGTTGTGAAATGATTTTGTGAGATGGGGTTGGATCCAGATTGATGAATGAAAGTTTTCAGCAGCAAATATTTAGTACCTGGTCAGGACAGTTAACAAAATTAATCTTAAACACATAGTGCAATGGCAAATCATTGAAATCACGTTGGAATGCAGTGTAAGCATTGCTTATTTACCGAAATATAATTACCAGGTTAAGGACGATTATAATTACGATGTGCCATGAAATATTATCCTTGTCTAATCTTCTAATTTTAATGGAATGTTCCGTGCCAAGTGTTTTCGTGCTGTATGTTACAAAAATAGAATTAGGTGCAAGAGGAAGGCACCCAGCCGTTTGTCCCTGATCCACCATTCAGTAAGATCATAGCTGGTCTGATTGAGTGCTCAGCAAATAATTCCTACCTGACCACCACCCTCCACTATTCCCCCCCGCAAACAAACCATCAATTCCCTGTTAGCAAAAATCCCATCCAACACTGTTTTGAATCATTTCAATGGCCCATCCTCCACTGCTGTTAGAGAGACTGTATCCCTCAGATCGATAGCCCACTGAGGGAGAAACATTCTCTTCATCTCCATCATAAACAGACCAAGTATCTTAAAACTGTGCCCCCAGCTGCTAGGCTTTCCAGAAGGGGAAGCATCCTGTTGGTATCAGGTCCTCTGAGGATCATCAGATCATCGGGTACAGGAGCAGCGTAGGCCATTCAGCCCATCGAGTCTGCTCCACCATTCAATGAAATAATGGCTGATTGATAATCCTCAATGCCACTTTCCTGCCTTTTCCCCATTCCCTTACGGATTAAAAATCTCTCTCTCTCAGCCTTGAACATAATAACCCAGCCTTGACAGCCCTCTGTGGTAAAGAGCTCCACAGATGCGTTCCCCTGTGAGAAAAATGCTTCATCAACTCTTCAGAAAAACCTGAAAGAAGTACGGATGCTGGAAATCAGAAACAAAACTAAAACAGAATTTGCTGGAAAAACTCAGCATGTGTGGAGTTTTGAAGATGGGTCACTGGACCCAAAACGTTAACTCTGTTTTCATTCCTCATCTCTTATCTATGTTTCAATAAGACCATCTTTGATTCTTTAAACACTAATGGATATACGCTCAACTTGTCCAGATATTCCTCATAAGTTTCCACCCAGATCCCAGTCATCAAATAAACCTCTCTAAACGGCTTCTCATGGGAGTATGTCCTCTGTGACTGAAGGAGACCATAACTGGAAACAGTTCTGCAGAGGTGGTCTCACAATACCCCCCTGCACAACTTGAGCAAACCTTCCAATCTCTTCGACCCCAACCTCACCACAATAAACACCAACGAGGTGGCACGGTGGCTCAGTGGTTAGCATTACTGCCCCATAGCACCAGGGACCTGGGTTCAATTCCAGCCTCAGGCAACTGTCTGTGTGGAGTTTGCACATTCTCTTTGTGTCAGTGTGGGTTTCCTCTCACAGTCCCAACAGTGTAGCTTAGGATGGATTGGCCATGCTAAATTGCCCCATAGTGTGCAGGCCAGGTGGGTTAGCCATGTGATAATGTGGACTTACAGGGATAAAGTAGGGGGGGGGGTGGGGGGGTAGTGTGGATCTGGATGGGATACTCACCAAACAGTAGGTTTAGACTTGATGGGCCAAATGGCCTGCTGCTACACCTTAGGGATTCTATACTCCATCTTGCAGAGTTTGGCCCACTCAGAGTGAGACCTGTTGTTCCTTTCAGGGTCTGGAAAACGCTAAGGTCACTGTGAGATAAACGGATATGTTCCCGTGTTACAGAACACAAGGAGAATACATTATCCTTTCCATGTCACTAGTGACTGATTCAGTAAGGGGGTTCCAGAACAATTACACAATGTTCAGCATCATTCGTGACCCCTCAGATACTGAGGCAGTCCCTGTTCACATGCAGCAAGATCTGGACAATATCCAGGCTTGGGCTGACAAGTGGTAAGTGACATTCACGCCACACAAATGCCAGGCTATGCCCATCACCAAAAAGAGACAACCTAACCACCGCCCCTTGACATTCAATGGCATTAGCATCTCCAAATCCCTCACTATCAGATTAGAATCTGAACTTGACTCACAATATAAACACAGCATCTACAAGAGCAGGTCAGAAGCCAGGAATACTGCAGCAAGTAACTCACCTCCTGACTCCCCAAAGCCTGTCCACCATCTACAAGGCACAAGTCAGGAGTGTGATGGAATACTCCCCACTTGCCTGGATGGGACCAGCCCCATCAACACTCAAGAAGTTTGACACCATCCAGGACAAAGCAGCCGCTTGATTGGTACCACACCCACAAACATCCCACTCCCTCCACCACCGACGCTCAGTAGCAGCAGTGTGTACTATCTACAAGATGCACTGCAGAAATTCACCAAAGATCCTCAGGCAGCACCTTCCAAACCCATGACCACTTCCATCTAGAAGGACAAGGGCAGCAGACACATGGGAACACCACCCCCTGCAAGTTCCCCTCCAAACCACTCACCATCCTGACTTGGAAATATATTGCTGTTCCTTCACTGTCACTGGGTCAAAATCCTGGAATTCCCTCCCTAAGGTCATTGTGGGTCAACCCACAGCAGGAGGACTGCAGTGGTTCAAGAAGGCAGCTCACCCCCACATTCTCAAGGGCAACTAGGGACGGGCAATAAATGCTGGGCCCAGCCAGAGACACCCACATCTGGTGAATGAATTTTGAAAAACCCACCTCTTCCCAATCTCTCAATAACAAAAATCAATTAAATTAAAAATTGGACACTGATCTTACATCACTTACTGTTGATAATATTGCGTTGCAAAACTCCAAGGCCTCGTGTCGATGTGTTTCCAAATTTACTCCTGAAATACATGGTCGTAATTATCAGACTGAACAGTGTGTCCCACAATCAAATACCTTCTTCAAACAGGGAGTTCAAGAAATACTTTTGTTGGGAAATGTCTACAGGGGTCTGGGGAAGAGCACTGAGTGGTTAGCATGTGAATAATTGGGCAGCTCTTTCAAAGGGCTAGCACAGATATAACAGGCTGAATGGCATACTGTCTCCAACGCCCACTGAGTTTACCTTCACCCATGAACTGTATGTTGGGTGGGGGAGGGTTGTGTCTGTGTGGGAGGAGTTGTTGACATTTGGGCTCAGATTCTGTCACAAGAAAAACATAACAAGGCTTGTAAGTTTATTTATCACATTTCTACAAAAGTGCAATCCTCTGCAAACAATAAATATTTTGCAGCAAACCTGTACCTCCAAAATCCTGACATTATGATGTTTGTGAAGGGAATGTACAATGGGCTGGGAGTCGGTCAGCTTTCTGCATTCACACTCCTGTTATCAGACCCCCTGACACACAGACACACACACACACACACACGTCACACTCTCTCAATCACACACTCACTCACACACCGCCTTGCAAAAACACAGACACATACAATGTCTCCACACGTGCACTCACACTGTCACACACTCACACATGCACATTTGTTCCCAGCCACACTCCCACACAGATACTGACACATGCCAAACACACACCCTCAAACACACACAGTTTCATTCAAACACACAAAGGTTCACTCACAGAAAAACACACCTGGACACACAAATATAGACAGAGGTACAAGCACACAGGACACTGAGGTACAATGGGGCACGCAGGTACAGGCACTCCCAGGTAAAAAGGTAGACACACAACGACAGACACAGGTACAGGCACGCAGATACAGACACCTGGGCACACAGGTACAGAAACACCCAGGCAAAAAGGTATGGACACAAGTACAGGCACGCAGGTACAGATGTACAGGTATGGACACCTAGGTATGGATACACCTGAACACACAGGTGCTGGCTGACATTCAGGTACAGTCACACCAGAATACAGGCGCAAATCCCAATACACACATATATATACACACAGGTCCAGACAGCTACCTACAGAACAAAGGTGGAGATGGTTCCACAGTGGGAATGTCCTGGATTATTAATCCAGAGTCCCAGGTAAGGCCGTGGGGACACAGGTCCAAATCCTACCTTGGCAACCAAGTGGAATTTAATCAATGAATAAACATTGACGGTCACACAGACAAGTGTCCAAATCCCAAACCAGACTCAACGAAACCAGCCGGATATCAAAGGGGGTAAAAAGCTGGAATATCGCAGGGCTGGCAGTGGGGTGTCCTCAAGCTCGTGAGGTTTCCTGCTTTCAGCTCCAGATCCTCTTCCGTCAGAAGATTTTCCGCTTTCCTGCATCAGACTCCTGATGAGGGGAGTCTGGAGAATTCAAGTTCTGAATGTACACTTAAAATTTCCCCACGTCGCATCAAAATCTACACCCACTGAGACACCTGGGAGGTTCTATTTCAATAATTAAAATACAGTTGTTCATTAACTCGCCGAGCCAGTTGTTCTGTGGTGTGCAGACATTTCGTTACCTTTCTAGGCAACATCCTCACTGCGACCTCTAATTGAAATGTTGGTGTTCTGCTTCCTTCTGGATTTACGTGATCCTCTGGTGGGATGGGCTTGTCGCTTCTGGTTCTGTTGTTTTAGCAGCAGCCTGTATACAGGGTCTATTTCTGTGTGTGTGTTAATGGAGTCCCGTGTTGAGAAATTCCCTTGCATGTCTGATGTTCGCTTAGCCCAGTATGGTCACTCTGTCCCAGTCGAATCGATGGCTTTCATTGTCTGTGTGTATTGAGACAAGTGAATATTGGTCATATCTTTTTGTGCCAGCTGGTGTTCATGTATCGTGGTGGTCAGTTTCCTCCCTATTGTTTGTTGCACTCGTTGTATGGTATTCTGTATATCACTTTGATCTTGTTTACTGTCAGTATAGGGTCTTTAGTCTTTGCTAACATTTGGCACAGTGTTGCTCTAGGTTTGTGTGCAATCATGATCTTATGCGGTCTCAGGAGTCTGGTAGTCATTTCCTATATATTTTTGATGTAGGACACAATTAACAAGTTCAGGGTAGATTCCGTGCAGCAGCAGAAGTTCGTCATCTTTTCGAGACCGATGTGAATTACCTCACTCAGATCATGGTACCAAGGTCGAATTTGCCCAATCAGGAAAGGTGCCCAGATCAAACATAACCCGACCCCACGTGTTCACGGCCAGTGTGATGACCAGCACCCCGATCAGATTCACTACAACTCCAGTCTTTGCCTGTGGAATATCAGAACGGAGCGGGGGAACAATGAGAGACATCCGAGTGAAAATCGAGCCTAAGAGATTCATGTTGTTATAGAACAGGGTTAGATACAGAGTAAAGCTCCCTCTACACCGTCCCCCATCAAAC